TCATATCTATGTTAATTGTATTCGACTGGTGAAGCGGCCACGGGGAATGGAGTTTCAAATTTAGATGATAGCATTAAGAAAGCTACAATTTGAATGCTTTACCATAAATTAACACACTAATCTACCAAATTAATGTCATTATTAACGAGAATGGAACATTGATCTCCCAAATTTGAAGGATTTTAACATAAAGAAAAACACTGATCTGCCATGATATTTCTCTGTTTTCTTCATCAGAACACTTTTGGTAAGCGGATATCACAAGGACTCCCTCGTTGTCTCCCTTTAATCCATTGATCTCTTCTAGTGCCCCAATGTTTTCAATTCGCCATTAAAGACACAAACCATGTCGTCTTTGATGACTAAATAGCTTTGACAATACACAAGAGACGAAACTTAGTTATATGACAAAATGATAAATCATAATCCATTTCATTATGAAAAAATGGTAAAACCTTAGAACTCATTGAAGAAAACATAAGATTTATATCCTAAACGTTTGATGAGTGAAATAACAATAAAAAGCAAAAAGAAATGAAGATATCAATCAAAGAAGCAAGAATGCAAGAAGGTAGGTTACATTTGGCCATGGATTATGCGACATTTCTTATGAATTCGCCACAGAACGCAACCATGTTGATATCTCTATATATCAACATTTAGGAACAACCCATATCGCTTTCCACAAGATGTCTTCATTGTTTGAAGATCCGTAGAAAAAATAATGTTTTTTTTGCCACCTCAATTCTACAATAAAGAAATCGATTATTTTTAAAAATATATTTGAAATATATAGAACATATGGTGCACATATTCAAGTTTGGTATAGACCGATTAGGGTTTGCTGGTTCGGTTAAGTTAAAATTGTCCAATCTTATCATAGATGACATGCATTTTTCTCTGATGAGGAAAAATGGAATAAGCAAACGAATTGATGGTTATAAAAAAATTATATATGGTGAAAATAAATAGAGCAAATGTACAAGAACTAAGAGATTAGTAGTAAACCAAAGTTTTCATTTAAATTCTGCTTTTTAACCATTAAAAAGATTGTGCTTTTTAACCATTAAAAAGAGCATATAAGTACAATTGTACAATTTTGAC